GTGGGGGAGGTCCGCCCACATCTCAGCAGCCCTATGCAGGCATGAGGTCACCCGGCTCTGCTGGTGCTTGAGAGGTGGTGTTTCATACAGCCCCTTCCTGAGAACTGCCCTGAGCTTTTCGATAACATGTCATTCTGCTCTTCGGGGCTGACTTGATAAGCCAGGTGTGGGGTGAGCCCAGGCTACTTTGTAGCACCCAGCAGGGGCGCAGAGCCAATCTGGAAGTTGGACAAGCCTCCTGGACAGACGCCAAAGCGCCGAGGACCGGGGAGAGAGGGCAGCAAGTCAGAGGTGGGACGTGGAGCGGGGAGGCTGCGCCACCAGGGGAGGAATTGCACTGCAGACCCCTCCCGGCGGAGGGCAAGTGGGCCTGGGAAGCAGCGGGCAGAGACACCCCCAGAGGCTAGATCCGAGCCAGCTTTGGGAGCCGTCTAAGGAGTAGTTTCTCCCAAGAGCAGGGGGAAGGCTTCAAGCGCAGGAATAGCAGGATTGGATTCCCATTAAAGCCTAAGAAAAGATGTTCAGACATCCAAGACGGGTAAATCTATCAAGGCAGTGACTGGACTAATGGTCCCTTGGGGTCTGGCAGGGGTGCTGAGGGGAAAGGGGAGCTAATAACGAGGAGCACAAGAATGAAGAGACGGTTCTGAAACTGACTGTGGTGATGATTGCTTGATGTGACTAACTCTGGAACAGTATGCCAATAAAACTATTGGGACAAACCTCCAGAGAATAAAAAAATTTAAAAGATGTTCAACACCATTAGCCACCAGGAAAACCCAAGTCAACACCACGACACACCACCTCGCACCCACTAGGCTGCCTACACCGAGACAGAGCACCATGCGTCTGATGGGAAGGGGTGCAGCCTGTTGGGAACTCGCCTAGCCTTGCCTCAAAAGGGCAAACACAGAGGTGGCAGGACCCAGCCATTTCCCGTCAATTTCACTCCAGAGAAAGCCAACAGACTATAAGGCAACACAACCAGTTCATTGCAGCCTGGTCACAATGGCCGAACACTGGACCTGGCCCAGACACGGACAACACGTGGTCGGTGCATCGACACAGCAGTGTTGCTTGACCACAGAACGGAGGGAAGGGCTGATAACACGCTACAGCGTGGTCAGCCCTGGAGGACTCTGCTCTGCGCAATAAAGCAGACACAATTCCCCGGGCTCCAGGCTTCCATCTGCAGGGTGTCTAGAAGAGGCAAATCAAGACAAACGAAAAAGCAGACTGCTGGCTGCTTAGGGCTCGGGTGGGGGCTACGGGTAGGGGTGGGTGGGTGGGCAGGTGACAGCTAAGTAAATGGATTTTTTCAGAGGGGGGGAGGGGCCCGCAATGAAAACAGCTTAAAATTGGCTGTGGTGAGAGGACCATAGGGCCAGCCCCACTACAAGAGATGACATCGCTCACTGACCCATAGCACTACAGGGGACAACACTGGAGACACAGTGTGGGAATTATACCCGCTCTGACCAGGATGTGCAACAGACCACCAAGGGGAGCAGAGCAATGAAGTCCTCAGGTAACACCAAAAATAACTTTGGGGCCGGGGTTTGACAGCACATCAGACTCAACCACAAAACACTCCTGAAGGTGAACAAACAGACCTGGAGCTATTTACAGCCCCCTTTTTTTGTTTTTTGCTGTTGTTTTATTTTCTTTTGTGGCTTTGTTTAGCTCTGTGTTTTTGTGAATATTATTATCTCTGCAGGTCTATCTAGATTAAGATAGAAGGGATAAACAATCTGGAGAAGAAAACAACAGGAAGTGGTGTTAACAAACCCAGGGACAAGGGAATAAGAAGTGATCCAAATCGGGGGTGAGGAGGGTGTAGGAGGGCTGGTAGGGCATGATCAAGGGCAATGTAATCGAGAGGAATTACTAAAACCCAAATGAAGACTGAGCATGATGTGAGACAAAAGGAAAGTAAAAGGAAATAGATAAAGGAACTAGGAGGCAAAGGGCATTTATAGAGGTCTAAATACAGGCATGTACATATGTAAATATATTTATATATAATGATGGGGAAATAGATCTATGTACATATAGTTATAGATTTAGTATTAAGGTAGCAGGTGGACATTGGGCCTCCACTCAAGTACTCCCTCAAAGTATGAACACTT